CTTAATATGTAGAAGAGAGACTTCTGAGTTTTGGGAAAAATAGAAAATCAGCTGAAACAGATTAAAAAGCTTTCAAATCTCATATATAATAATTTCAAGCTTTTCAAATCCAGCTGATAGATGAATTATTCTTACTTTGATGTCTGACTAAAATACATAAATTTGATATTCCAAATTATAAAGTCAGACTGTTCTATAAAGAAGAAGATTTTTCAGAAAAGCTAATTATAGAGTGTTTTACATCAAAATATGTGATGAAATAAATAATTATTTCCAGTCAATTTCATAAATAGCGTTATCATTCTTGTTTAAGGTTGTTCACTGTTTTTGAAATATGTAATCTCATTATTTACTGAAAGACTGAAAACACAAGATTCCATGGTTTAAAACAAAATATTTTTTTACCCTGCAAGAATCAAACATGAGATACAATAAATACTATCTTGGATAGTATTTATACTATCAACATAAACATGAACTTACAGACAAATTGTAGTTGATTATGCATTAAGAGGCAAGTTGGGCAGATTTTATGAAATGGCTCAGCAGTCAACTCACCTTATATTTCATCAATCTCAGTCACAATATCTTTTAGAACTTTGTCTTCCTCATGAAAAAAATCAGCTCCTTTTATTCCAGGATTTAACCTGATCTTTAGCCATCAGCGGCGCGCGATCAACATGAGTACTATGGACAAAAACAAAGTTGCTGGAAAAGCTCAGCAGGTCTGTCAGCATCTGTGAAGGAAAAAACAGAGTTACCGTTTCGGGTCTGGTGATCCTTCCTCAGATCGAGGATATGGATATGTTCTGTTTCCCACCAAAGTGGCACACATCTGCAGTACCTGCTGAACTTTGCATACAATGGTCTGAATGACATAGATCCATCAATGTTTTCTTTCAATACCAGAAACAGTTGAACAAACTATATCTTTGCTTACCCTTAGCTTCTGCATCTAGTCTCTCCCTTCTTCTGGACCTATCATCTATGAATGAGCTATGACGGTTCTCTGTTTTGTATGATTTCAACCATGTTAAGTCCTCCCAGAATTTATGGTTTCCAATCTCAGTTTCAGTTTTGTTAGAAACTGTGATGTCAGTTCCTTCCTTATTTTCCAGATTTCCACTTCTGTTTTCCTTTCCAATTTGTGTCTCAAAAAATACAAGTTTTGAAGCTACGGATTTCATCACAAGACAATATTTAGATATAAAACTTTGTACTAACACTGTGCCGAATGGGATATTATAAACAGATCTAGTATCATGAAACTGGACATTCCCAAGGCTCTGTGGACCATTAGCATAATCAGAATCATAATCATTAACAGTCTGTAACCTCATGGCCTGGGATACCCCCCATGCTACCACTACCATCACATTGGGAAATCAGCCATGGTTCAATTATGAATGGGAGGACATGCTAAGAGCAGCACAAGGCATATCTAAGAGTATGGTGCCAGCCTTTTAAAGTTACAACCACAGAGCTGCACACAACAGAGAGCTAAACAATCCCGTGATAAGAGGACCGAATCTAAGCTAAACAGTACTGCCTCATCCAATCATGGTAGGAGATAGACAATTAAACAATTTAGCTAGAGGTAAAAGCTCCACAAATATCCTCTTCAGCTAGAAGTGCCAAGTGGATTTATTTATTTATTTTGTTTGTTTTTGTGGGATGTGGGCATCACTGGCTGGCCAGCATTTCTTGCCCATCCCCAGTTGCCCTTGAGAAGGTGGTGGTGAGCTGCCTTCTTGAACAGCTGCAGTCCTCCTGCTGTGGGTTGACCCACAATGCCATTACGGAGGGAATTCCAGGATTTTGACCCATTAACAGTGAAGGAACAGAGATATATTTCCAAGTCAGGATGGTGAGTGGCTTGGACGAGAACTTGCGGGGGGTGGTGTTCCTATATGTCTGCTGCCCTTGTCCTTCTAGATGGAAGTGGTCGTAGGTTTGGAAGGTGCTGTCTGAGGATCTTTGGTGAATTTCTGCAGTGCATCTTGTAAATAGTACACACTGCTGCTACTGAGTGTCGGTGATGGAGTAAGTGGATGTGGTATCAATCAAGCGGGCTGCTTTGTCCTGGATGGTGTCAAGTTTCTTGAGTGTTGTTGGAGCTGCACTCATCCAGGCAAGTGGGAAGTATTCCATCTCTCTCCTGACTTGTGCCTTATAGATGGTGGACAGGCTTTTGGAAGTCAGGAGGTGAGTTATTCACTGTATTATTCCTAGTCTCTGACCTGCTGTTGTAGCCATTGAGTCTAGTTGAGTTTCTGATCAATGATAACTCCTAAGATGTTGATAGTGGGGGATTCAGTGATGGTAACACCGTTGAATGCCAAGGGGTGGTGGTTAGATTGTCTCTTAGTGGTGATGGTCATAGCCTGGCATTTGTGTAACGCGAATGTAACTTCCCACTTGCCAGCCCAAGTCTGGATATTGTCCGGATCTTGTTGCATTTGGACATGGACTGCTTCAGTATTTGAGGAGTCGTGAATGGTGCTGAACATTGTGTAATCATCGGCGAATATCCCCACTTCTGACCTTATGGTGGAGGGAAGGTCATTGATGAAGCAGCTGAATATTATCCATGTTGGCCTCCTCCTAAAGCCCCCAACATCAGAATTGCCAGTCTGTGTCTTTATACAGCAAAACATGGACAATATCCAGGTTTGGGCTAATAAGTGGCAAGTAACATTCATTTGCAGCAAGTGAGAATCTAACTATCTCCCCTTGATATTCAATGGCATTACCATCACTGAAGCCCCCACTAAAAAACATCCTGAGGTTGACCATTGACTAGAAAGTGAACTGATCAGCCAAGTAATTACTGTGGCTACATGCGCAGGCCAGAGGCTGGAATTCTATGTTGAGTAATTAACCTTCTTGTGCCCCAAAGCCTGACCACCATTCACAAGGCATTAATCAAGACAAAATATCTGCTGTTAAATGTCATTTCATAATCTGTGCAGCAATTGCTGAATAATTCTGAGCGTTTCATTGTAGGAACCTTGATTTCATTTGTGTGTTTTTAAAAACTGGAAATTGTAATGAGAAAGAGCTGTTTTGAAACCAGTATTTGAAAGAGTGGCTGTAAATTTGGAAAATCAAATAACCTAACATTCATGGCAAGCATCGTAAACCACTGTTTCAACCAACAGTAATTAGAATTTGAGTTGTAGATGATTTGGAGCCAAGGGAAGTGTATGGATGATACTTCTGCTAGTAACAAGACATTGATTGGTTTATGGACTAGTGATTAGTTATCAATGACAGACACCTTTGCTTGCCAACAACTGTGTGACTGGTTCTCAGATAGCTGAACAAGTTAGAGCTGAGAACAATTTACAGAGAGAGAGATAAGTTTAATTCTTCCCCAGCATTGGAGCAGTCTTACGGTTCGCTGCAGTCAAAACTAGCCGTAAACCAGTTTATGCTTCCAGCAACAGTTCCTGTAATGTGTGATTTTTAACTAATAAATCAGAGAAGTTTTATAAGGGAACCAGCCACCTTGTGTCTTACCAACCAATGGAAGCATCTGGAGAAAGATAATTAAAGCAACATCCTGGTCAGCAGAAGTGTCATAAAGATCATCTGACAATGATACCTGGGAAAAAGGACCACTGAACTGTCTTTCCAGTTTCTCCTGTCCAGTCATAACCCATTTTACCCTGTGTGTTTGTCTGTCTATGTGAATTTAAGGGGGAGTTTATAAGGGGACTGGAGTTTCAATTCGGAGTGTTATTTGCCAGTGGTTTATAACTGTTTCCCTATCTAGATTTTAAGTAATTGTAGTAAACAGTCATTCTTGCTTCCTATCAACTTGGATATGAAACTCAGGTGAATATGGAACTGTGCATAATTTTTAAAATCTATACCTTTTGTGATTACTCTGGAAAAAGAAGGGCTTGATTCCTAGCACAATACCACAGTGAGTCAAAACAACACAACAAAAACTTTAAGATATCAGTGGAATTCATGTTCGGAAAAGATGATGCAGCAATACTTTCCTGAAAGCAATTGGGGATGGACAATATAGTCTGTCCTTACCAATGATACATTTCCCAGAATTAATTTTAAAAAATGATACTGATCCAAAATTGCCAGGGGCTTTTCCTAGTTTTTCAGTTAATATTTGCCCCTCATTCAACCTGCATCATTGAAACAGATCATTAGTTCATTTATTATTGTTTCTGGGATATTACTATGAGCGATTTAGCTGTTGTGTTTCTCTATGTTGCAATAGAAAATCCATCTTGTTATTGTAAAAAGTTCTCTGTAAATGTGAGTTCTTATTTTAACACAATTCATGTATGATACGCAAGCATATATGGAGCTGAGGATGACTGCAGTCATGGTGGCACTAGACTGAGTATTGGCAGGTCTTTCTACTTTTATTCTTTATTTTATCTTTGATGTTTATATTTAATCTTTTCTGTGAATAAGGACTCTTTTTAGCAGGTTTTCATGCAATGAAAGAATAACTTACTTTGATGAAGTGCAGTCCTGCCCCTGAGATGGAAGAAGTCAATGAAGAAATCATGTATTTTGCAGCGACTTTTAATTCGCCAGGAGCGATTATCTATATTTAACATTTGGGGGTTTTAGTTCTGTAAAATTGACGTTTGCTTGAGAAGTGGAAGGTGTTATATTCCTAAATTACTAACAGCTTAATTGTAAAAAGATATAAAGATCGTTGCTGTGAGAAAAAGCTGCAAACACATCAATGCAAAACTGTAAAAGCAAAATGCTGCAGATGCTGGAAATCTGAAATAAACCCAGAAAATGCTGGAGAAACTCAACAAGTCTGGCAGCATCTCTGGAGAGAGACACAGAGTTAATGTTTCAAATTCTAAAAACAATCTTTAAAATTGAAACATTAAATCTGCTTCTCTTTTCACAGATGCTGCCAGACCTGCTAGGTTTCCCCGGCATTTTTGGGTTTTATTTATTATTAATGCAGAGCTATAATCTTTTCAGTAGCATGTTCTATATTACAGATGTTCGCAGAAGAACAATTTATGAATACCATCGAGTTGAATTGCAGATGTCAAAAGTCACCAATGCGTCCGCTGTTGAAATGGTCCCTCTCGCCAGTGAGTATTAATTTGTCAATCTCACCTTCATTCAAGTTTTAGTAACTTAAAATTTTGTGTATTTTAAGGAAAGCACTAGCGTGAATGTGTCTAGTTATTTTTTATTTAATCTTGAGAAATGCACGTTATTGGCAAGGTAATATATATTGCTCATCTGTAATTGCCCTTAGGTGGTGGTAATGGGCTTTCTTCTTGAACCACTGTAGTTCTTGTCTTCATACCATTGGCATGGTGACATTAAATAGGGACTTCTAGGATTTCGACCAGCACTGATGATGGAACAACATGATATATTCATGTCAAGATTTTGTGTGCAACTTAGAGGGAAAGCTAAAACCAGTGGTAGAGACCTTGGGGCAGAGGGGTGTTGTTGGAACAAGCTTGATGAAATGTTGCAATATATCTCATACACAACATATACTGGGAACATTTAATGGAAGTGGCAGGCATCTTGCTGAACAGCTAGAGAACCAGCAAAAGCCTGGTCACCTGCTTTCAGGCTATAAAGGTGTCAAAGAAAGTTCAGAGCAGTTTTACCAAGAATGAAAGGCATCACTTATCAGGAGAGAATATAAAAGTTGAGACATTTGGAGCCTGGAAGTTTAAAAAGCGATCTGATAAAGGTTTCCAGGATGATGAAAGATTTTGTCATACAGGGGAAAGATTTTAACCTCTGATGAGCGGTTAGTATCTAAATTTCATAGATTCGAGAGCATTGGTAAAAGATCTAGAGCAGTGACAAGGAGATTTCTTTTTTCAAACAGAGTGTTGTTGAGATCTGGAGCACTCTAACTAAGTAAGTATTATATATTCCAAAGTAATTTTAAAAGCAAGTTGGATAGATAACTAAGGAACTTGTGTGTATATATAGGGGGTAACTGTGGGGATACTAGCATAGGCATTGTGGATTGAATGACCTCATCTGTGCTGTTACCTTTATTAATTCAGTGAAATATTACTAGAGAAAAAAAAATCAACAACCCAATTTCAGAAGGATCAGTCTTATGCAAATATTTGCTGCCTATTTCCTGTTTATTTATGTATCTTCGTGTTCTTATGGTAAATCACCGAGCAGCTGCAGTTAAATAGGAACATAGGAACAGCAGTAGACCATTCAGCCCCTTGACCTTGCTTTGCCATTCAATAAGATCATGGCTAATCTGTTGCCTAGCTGCATATGCCTACCATGGGTCCATATCGCTTCCCTTAATAAAAATTTGTTTATCTCAGATTTAAATTTAACAATTGAATTAGCTTCGACCACCGTTTGAAGAGAGGAAGAGAGTTCCAAACCTTCCCTACTCTTTGCTTGTGGAAGTGCTTTCTAACATCTCTCCTGAATGGCCTGGCCTAATTCTTAGACTTTGCCTCTTAGTTCTAAAATCTTTAACTGGTGGAACTACTTTATCCTTATCTAGCCTGTCTGCCCCTGTTAGTATCCTGAGAACCTCAATTAGATCAGTCATTAACCTTCTTAAGTTTAGGAAGTGAGAGACAGCTGAGCTTCCATTAATGACACTGTAGATAGTTGAGGTAGCAGGAGGAATGTCATACCCTGAAAGTCCCAGTCAACTTCAGCTCCCTGAGCCATGTGACCACTGATTCATTACACCCTTTTGAAGGGACAGGAACTTCTAAATTTTATCCATTTCTTTGGACAAAGGGGTTTTCCTAACTTCACTTCTAAGTGGCCTATTTTTAAGATTTTAAGATCACATACTCTACTTGAATACCTACTGACTTATTGGACTCAAGCAAATACAAGCTAAGTTTAGATAACTCATCCTCAGAATGTTACCCTTTAGGACCTGGAGTACTTCTTGGTCAGTTAGAGGAATTTTTGTCTTTCTCCTATCCAAATATGAAACATGATAGCAGAATGCAAAGTAGCTTAAGTTTTGAGCTGAAAATAATGTTCGGAACGGCTGATCCTTTGAGGTTAAAATTACTTTAAAAGTTACCCCTGGTGCCTCATATTAATAACCTTGTACATGTGTAACAGGAAAGCTTTAATTGTTAGGTCATTTAAGCCACATTTTAACCTTTGGAAAAACTTCAAATGGCAGTTCAGTTCCAGGATTTTGACATCCTGCATTTTTGTCCTGATCGTCTTTGCATCTTTCTGTTACTCCCAGCTTGTCTCCAGTACAAAAGCTGCTCTGCCTGTATCAATGCACAGATTGGCTTCAACTGCACATGGTGTGACAAGCTCCAGAGGTAAGCCAGCTGTTCTGAGTGAACACTGCCATGAGCAGATAATAATTGTTTCATTAGACGATGCTGAAGTTCAGTCAATGGAAACTATTGTAATTATTATCTGTGGATTAACTTTATCTGAAAGATATATTATTTCTGATGTATTGTCACTTGTACAGATATATAAATTTTCTTAATTGCAACAGTAAAGTTAGACCTTCAGCTTATTGAATCACACAGAAAATATACTTTTTAGAATGGAGTTAAAATGCTTCTCAACCACTTGTATGTTACCAGTAGAGTTTTGCAGCATAATTGCAGATTACTCCACAGCAACAACTTGCATTTATGTATCATCTTTAACACAATAAAACATCCAAAGATTGTAACTGAGGAAACATTAACACTGACCCAGATACTCTGGCAGCAGCCAGATAGGTAAGGAGAGCCTGTCAACCTGTTTGAAACCACTAGCCCTGTCCTGTCTGCTGCTGGGAGACTGCCTGCACCACTCCCTATACTGCCCACTTGCATGGGCACCCCTACGTGTTCCTGAGACACAAGAATAGGAATTACTTTGACACCACTCTGCCATCCCAGCCTCGAAATTTCGATTGCACAAGTCCATTGGAGCAATGTGCTTGTTATTCAGGTAGCCTAAGCAATGGCTGAGTGGTATTATCACTAGACTATTAATCCAGAGATCCAGGTAATATTCTGGGGACCTGGGTATGAACCTCGTCAGCAAATGGTGGAATTTGAATTCACTGATATTCTGGAAATAAGAGCTTTGTGATGTCCATGAAACCATTGCTGATGGTCAGGAAAAAAAAAACCCATTTGGTTCACTGATGTCCCTTAGGAAAGGAAATCTGGCACCTTCCCTGGTCTGGCCTGCATAAGATTCCAGACCCACAGCAATATGCTTCACTCTCAACTGTCTCCAGGCAATTAGAAATGGAAAGAAAAACATGCTGATTACACCAGTGAAGCCCACATCTCATGTAGGAATTCAAAAACAAATCACCATAGATCAACTTTAGTTTTAAGTTAAATTTTTGGAGTTGTTCCATTGAGTTTCTGAATTTGCCACAGATTGTTGCTCGAACCTCTCAGGAAATGCAGAGTGTTTGTGATCTCTCCATGCAAAGGCTGCACCAGCCATGGGGTCTGCAGTTGAAGTGTCTCTAGGTCTGCAAAGTAACAATTCAACAAACTGTACAAATTTGTCAAGCTGTGCACAACGTTCTGTCTGGCAGCCCAACACCTTGGAGTGCTTGCTCACCATCATTCTCTATTGAGTCTCTCATCTGAGTTTGCTGCTGCAGAACCCATCTGTAACTTGGCTTTCCTTTGAACTGACACATGAACCATACATACTCCATGACCCATCTGTGATGCACTCATGCCTGGTGACTCAACACATGTGGAGCTCCGTTCGGAAACAGCTTTTAAGTTACGTACAGTGACAGTAATAAAGATGGTGACTGCTAGTGTGACATCAAATGGCAGAGGCCTTTCCCTCATTGCTTTGCTGTTGCTGTCTCTGCTTCTCCTTGGACACCTTTGGATGGGCAAACAGCAGTTATTAGATGATTAAGAGCATAAAATTAAAAGGGGAAGGAGTTGAGGTAGCCAGTAAGGGCACTGTGGTGACATCATCTGCAGCTTGTTCGTCATGTCGGAAAGCAAGGTGAGGGTGAGCTGGAGTTGAGAAGGAACATAAAGCAGAACATACAGTCATCCTGAATGTACTCAGCAGCTCCATCAGAGCTGGTCCCACTATACAGGGAAATATGTCCTCCATAAGGGTTAGAAGGTACAGCTGTTGGTGACCCTTGATGGTTCTGGCCTTCTAGTAGCTATAGGACATTTTTTCCTGCAAGAGAGAATGCCACTCATTATGTTGCACCGGGATAGGATGATGGGTGTGTTACAGCTGTATGTCTGGAAGTATGTGAAAGTTCTGGGAGCTGGGTGTAAGATTGACAACATTGTAATGTCCACGAGGGTGAAGTAGAGTATCTGCATTTTAGGCTTGAGACCCGAGTAATTGGGGTGTGGTGAATTGAGGCTATGATGAGACATGAAGTTACAGATTGCAGGTTGAGTACAATTTTCCCATTGCTCAATGCCTGCAGAGCCTCATGGATGGCGCATTTTGAGTTGCTACATCTGTTCCAAATGTAACTAATATGGTGATTGTACCACACACCACGCTGCAAAGCATTCTCATTGTGAAGAAAGAACTTAGTTTCTGTGAGGACTGTGCAGTGGACGCTGCTATTGTTGCTGTCATAGACTGATAATTGGTGAGATTGAGATGTCCTCACCCCTTGCTGTTGACTCAGTCTCGCAGTTGTGCCCATTAGGACTCAGTCAGTAATGGTGTCCCTGAGTAACTTTTGATAGTGGACATTGAAGAGTACATTACGTGTACTTGCCACTCTTAATGCATCTTCGAACTGATGTTCAACATGAAAGAATATTGATCTTCTGAAGGCTAGGGAGGGTGAGCTGGTGGTTCAATAGGTGACAATCTGCAGGGGTTTCCCTTCCCATATTTGACCCAATTCCTTTCAATTTCGTAAGGTTCGGCATCAATGTTAAAGACTCCCAGGGCAACTTGATCTCAAACAATTAGCACTGTGCCACTACCTATGAGGAATGGTTGAGGGAGCTAGGGCTTTTTCATTGGAGTGAAGAAGGATGAGAGGTGACTTGATAGGGTGTACAAGATGATGAGAGGCATAGATAGAGTGGATACCTAGAGACATTTTCCCAGGGCGGAAATGACTATTACGAGGGGGCATAATTTTAAGCTGTTTGGAGTAAGGTATAGGGGAGATGTCAGAGGTAGGTTCTTTACACAGAGAATGGTGTGCGTGTGGAATGCGCTGCCAGCAGTGGTAGTCAACTCGGATACTTTAGAGACTTCTAAGCGACTCTTGGATAGGCACATGGATAATAGTATAATGTAGGGTATGCAGGGTAGTTTGATCTTAGTAGGATAATAGTTTGGCACAACATTGTGGGACAAAGGGCCTGTATTGTTCTACGTTCTATGTTCTAGATAAATGGGACTTTGTAGGATCAACCAAACTAATTATGCTGTTGGTATTCCCAGTGCCTCAGTCAATGCTGAATGGTCGATCTGATTTGATTCCTTTTGTCTTTTCTGTGCAGGTTCACACAATGAGTGTCTTGCTAGGCCTTTTTACAGGGGATTTAGGAGATGCCTATCTCAGTGCAGTACATCTGAAGTCACATGTAGGTTTGATTAGGTAAAGATGGCAGATTTGCTTCCCGAAAGGATATCAGTGAACTGTGGATTTTTAAAACAACCAACAATGGTTTTGATGGTCACTATTACTGAAACCAACTTTTAATTCCAGATTTATTCATTTAGTTCAAATCCTAAACTACCCCGATAGAATTTGTAACCATGTCCCTATAACATTCACGTGGGCCTCTGGATTGCTGGGTAGTCTGGCTAACTTGATGACTACTGCCAGGTTTGCACTTCCAGTTACCGGCAATTACCCCTTCTGACCATCTTCTTCCAATTTCTTCTGAAGATGATTCTCAAAGACTTTAGGGCTGTTGTGGCACAGTGGTAGTGCCTCTACCTTTGGACCAGGAGGACCTGGGTTCAAGTCCTACCTGTTCCAGAGGAATGTCATAACATATCTGAACAGGTTGATTCAAAAAAGTCTACAATGTTCATTCTTTAAAAGCCTATTGTGGTGCAGTGACAGTCCAAATGAGAGGAGATCCAAGTTCAAGTCCCAGCTGCTGCAGAGGTGTGTTATAACATCTCTGAGCAGGTTCATTTAAAAAAAAATCTTCGAATGCTCTTTGAAGCCCTGTAGAATGACTGTATCTCTCCTGCTATTCCTCTGTACCATTGAGGTCTTCAGTACTGCATCACTGATCCTGGAACCTTGTCTCTGGTTTCTGTTTTCCTTGTTTGCAATTGCAGGCATAGCACTTAGCTGGCATCCTCTATAATTCACAATAGGGACAGACTATCTTTAAGAATATAAAGCTGGCTGTACCATGTTACTCACACTAGTGCTCAACTCCCTGTTGAGCATTGAGGAAACCAGCAGAAGTGGCTTGACTGAGTTCTGACATCAGTAAAATGAAATGGCAGCACTGAATTTATTTGCTGCCTGCCTGTACCGCAAGATACGCAGGCAAGGTGTGGACCATGATCCTCACACCCAGGAAATGGCACAATAGCCGCTTAAAATTGTACTCATGAAATACATGACTTAAGCCCTGGTGGCATAATGCATCATTTTATTTTATTCTTTCTTGTGATGTAGGTAGTGCTGGCCATACACATCACTGTTGTGATTCCCTGAGGTTTGCACCTAAGATTTTTGAAACCAAATGTCATTGTGTTATGGATCACAATTATCATTAATGGAGGAAATCCTAACAGCTGTCTAATTGTGCCTACGGTTTGCCGTGTTAATGGCAGTGAGTTAACTGTATACTGCCCAATGACATTTTATTTCACAATCTGTAATTGTACATTATAGAGAGGCACACAAGAAAGCAAGTGATTGGGTGCTCATTCATGAAGTAAGCTTCACATCGTACTAAATCTCATGCGGTCACAATCAGTGAGCGAATCACTATTCAGGCGACCTCAGAATAAAATGTGTCTTAGAAAACACTGTCAGCTTTCAGCTGCGTCACGAGGATTGTGCAAGGAAAAGCTGCTGGCACAGGTCTCAGAAAGTATAAAATCCCCTTGAAGAAATTGTGATCTAGATTCAATAGCACAAGACTTTAGAAATCGATTCCACCCTCGGGGGACTGTCTGTGCACAGTTTGCACTTTCTCCCCGTGTCTGCCTAGGTTTCATCTGTGCTCCAGTTTCCTCCCACAGTTCAAAGATGAAGTCAGAAGTCACACAACACCAGGCTTATAGTCCAACAGGTTTACTTGAAATCACAAACTTTTGGAGCGTAGCCCCTTCGTCAGGTGAAGTCAGAGAGATGCGCACA